GCAATTGTTACTAATGATTAGGTTAGGACATCTGTAATAGTAATCACATCAATATGACTGACAATTTATAAGCCATCTGTGCAATATTGGAGTTATACAGAAGAATGCAAACTGACAACTAAGTAGTGCAAACACTAGATAAGTCCTTATGATTGTATAAATTTATTGAAATTAGGTAATAAAAAGTTCATTTGAAAAGATCTAAGTAGAGAGGTATTGAATTTTTAACAATGTTACTGTAAAGACTAGTTTAGAGAAACAGATACTTAGGTCTTAGTAATCAGACAAACAAGAACCTCTGAGTTGGAAGTCTTGGAGGTATCACCAATTAGGTCATTAGAATAAACTAAAGAAAAATTATATTAGGCTGATCTAATATATTGATAAACTGATCATAGTCCTATACAGGCCATCTGAATTGAGAGTCTAATGAAATTCAGAGATATACTAAAGTATTCGAGTTATGCTATAAAGTAAATGCTAGAGTCTAAGTGAACTCTACAAGGATATAATGGTTTAATAGTAAAGCTCTAACTACAAGTATTGGTTCTGCTATAACAATATTTAAATTAGCTGCAAAAATGAGTACAGAAGGCTCTGGAGAGTTTATCTTGAAGATAAATTAGTCCTAAGATTGAAATGATGATCTAAGTATTTAGATATAACTCAGTAAGTTACAGGTTCAGAGAATTTAAAGTAGAATACCCAAGCAGAGATGTTAGATATAACAATTGGTGAAAAACTTTTGAGTAAACTTCTTAAATAGGTAATATAGAAAAGTTACATATGTAGCTAATTGTACACTCTTCTGTAGTGGTTTATTGAATTACAATACTAAAAAGTTGTTAATAAAAATCAAAAGACCAAAGAGGTTATCTTAACACTAAAAAAAAAAATATTAATAAGTGATATTATATAAGACTTCAATACAAATCTACAACAAACTATCAAGTACAGAAAACAAAAATCTAAAAAATCAGAAGTTTATTTAGAAATTCTTAAATAAAGAATTAGTTATATATAAAGCACAAAAGGTTTTAGTAAATTTCTTATCAAGAATAAAGTAATTTTAAAGAGTTTAAATATATTAGATATTTTAGATAAATATAATCTTAAAAATATTATCATAATATAAGTTAGGATTATATATACAAAGAGTTTAAATAAGCAAGACCTGTAATTGGCTAGCAAGTATAACATCTAGTATAAAACCTGCATAGTAATATATAAGCAGACTACTTAAATTAGGCATCAAAAGTACATATGGGGATGAGTCAATAAAAACACACCAAATCTTTTTTAGTAAATATTTTTGCAACTTTAAATAAAGATAACTTGACAAGAAATTATTTAAATTTAATAAAATTTTTTTTAAACAAATTCTATAAGAATTTAAAATTAATTTAAAAAAATTTTTATTAAATATGACTAAGTTCTTGCTAAGTTATTTAAGCTTTAAGTTTCAAAAAAATTTACTTAAAAAAAATTTAGTATGTTTCTATTGACTTACTCCTATATGTAGCTATTGTAATCTCTTATGTATAAATATCTCTAAAGACATTTATGTTTAAAAAGAACTTGAATAAAAATCTTATTTCCTAAAGACTGAAACTTTAACTTAAAAAATAATAATAATAATTCTAGAATAAGAATTATTATATAAATTAATTTATTATATAATTAAAAATAAAAATTTTTTAGACTGATATAAATAAATTTAATTATTTATTTAAGTAGTTTATTTAAAGATTCTATACAAGTTACTATATTTGCAATTTGTTAAAAATTATTTATTTAAATTTTTTGATTTTTAAATTTTATTTAAACAAATAGTAGTATAATTTTTATATAATTAATATTATTTAAATATATTAGCTTAAATAAGAGTTCAAGACATTTATATAAAGTATAACATTATATAAATATAGAAAAATACTTATCAATATTATAAAAGATTTTAATACAAACTTATAATAAGATTATTAAGTATATAAAACTAAGAAACTGAACAAACAGAATCTTACTTGAAAATTTTTAAGTAAAAAGGTAATATAGACTTTGAACAATAATGTTAAACTAATATAAATCTTAGAAAAAACAAGTAAATAAACCAAATAACAAATATATATAAAGGAACATATAACTAATCAGATTACTAAAATCTGTTAAAAGAAAAAAATACATAAATATATATTAAAAATCTATTTACAGATCTATTAGATCATTTGAATTGATATCTTGTTAATTTAAAATAAAAAAAAGATGTTAAAAAAATAAGTACCAAGGTCTTAGTAAACTTTATAAAGATAATAAAACTAGATCAATTATGTGTAAGACATAGAAGACTTTAGTAAGTTTTCTGTCAAGAATAAATTAATTCTAAGAGTATTAATGAATATCAGAATTTTGAATAAGATAACTTAGAAGATATTCTGTAATGCAAGGTGAATTGCATATAAAAAGGTTTAAATAAGTAAAACCCCCATGTAGTGTAAAACCTATATAGTAATGTATAAACAGACTACTTAAATTAGATATCAAAGTACACGTGTAACTAGTTGTAATCTCCTATGTAAAGAAGTTCTTGAAAAATTGTTTCCCGAAGACAGGGACTTTAACTGTAAAAAAAAATTATAAAAAAATAATTAAGTTGTAGATCGTAGTTGAAGGGTATAAATTTTATAGTAAAATCGGGTACAATGTTTAAATGCCAGAAGTTTGACATTATGTAAAAATCATATAGTTATAAAGGAGAAAATGCCAATAGCTCGCGAACTACAAACCCAATTTGAATAATTCTACCACTATTAGAACCGATATACCTTGTTCTATATGCTTTGTATAAACTCAAGAAAGGTCTACTTAGCATAAAAAACGTTTCAGTGTATACTAACTACATTCCAACCCTTTAGAAAAAAACTATATCAACTTCCAGCAATTTTTACTATTAAATTTGCCATTTTTTATGCCCTTTAACCACGATTTACCTCTTAATTTATATATAATTATACCAGTGGTTACAAGTAATTTTTGTCAATTACTTTATCACTCTAATTTTAACAGTATCTTTAGAATTAACAAGATATGCTTATATGTTATAGCACAGTTTAAATGGTTTAAATTTACTTAATGCACTTGATTAGTAAACAAGCCCTTCGAAAAAGTACGCACGTTGATTTCAAGAAGTTAAAGACGGAAAATGCCGAAACTGGGTTTTTTATTTTGCATCAAAAAAATCGTAATTTCGGTCAAATAATAGATGCCCTCTCCGTAAAATACCTAAACATAGCGATAGTTATAATTTCATGCTAAGAATAGCAGACTATATTTTTTATGTATATCTTGCATACTTGAATGTTCTATAGAATAGATAAATAATACCGCCCATTATCATTGTGATTATGATAAAAGTTAAGCGTACAACTCGCTAAGTTGTCGAAGTGTTGTAGCTTTTGTTACATTGTATAATATTACCATTTTGTACACCATCACTTTCACTTATTATTTTGTGTACTATCTCTAAAGTCCGTGTACTTGATCAGATATTTACAAAGTGACAACAGAGAAGACAAATTGTGGAATCTTTAAGTTTTGACATAGGAAATATTGACTTCAAAAGTATTAAAAAACCTATTTTTTTTGCATAGAAATGGATTACCAGGGTAAATTGTGATTTCCATTCGCCTTGTTAATCATCGAGCTTATTGATATGATTATCGTTATTCCCAACAATATATCCTAGTAACTTTGACCACAAATTATATGATAAAATCGTTCATTATGAAAAACGAGTACGTACTTAAAAACTATTAAATCCATCAACTACAAATCATTTTCGAGATATCTTTGTGTCCCAAGTTGAAACAATTATTTATTGTTATTTTATTAAGCGACAACCAGATTCTGCAATAATTATTCGTCTGTAACACTTCGTTGTACGTATTAATACAATAACGATATATTTGATATATATTAATAGTTAATAAAAGTTTTTGTATCACTTTATTAAACATTTGAGTGGTGAAAAACCAGTAATTCTGGTAATTCTAAATTTAGATCATTTTTTTAAAAATTAATAATTTAAAATTTAAAATTTTGTCGAATCAATCATTATATGTTTAAAACATTTCTTTTTACGAATTATGTACGTAAAACAATTATTCAAGTTCATAGGAGTTAACATTTTACATTACCATATTAAACCCTGTAATTAAAATAACAAGAATTTACATTACCGTTACACTCAAATTATTTATTCCAGACTGATGATTTATACTAAGAACCGGAAACCCCTCCCCTGAAGAATCTGGTTATACTGTATATGTCGCAGATCAATTTTTCAGGGACGTTACGGACGGAAAATGCTGAAACTACGTTTTTGATATTTCTATTGTAAAAGCAATTTCGGTCAATCAAAGCGCATAAAAGTCGGACAAAAAAAATACCTTTTTTTTTTGTTATAATTTGATGATAATGATAAAAAATCCATTGTTGTTTTAATAAAATTCAAACTAGAAAAATGTTTTCAAGGTTAGGGTTAAGATCAAATGTTAGTATAGATACATAGAAGCCGATTGTATTTATGTACACAAACTATAGTATAATCTGATCAGATTTCACATGTTATATTTCGCCGGTAAATTTCTTTAAATTACATCGTTTATAATTGTTTTCGAAATGTTTATCCGAATTATTTTTATGTTTTCGATCGGGAATTCTTGTACTGCATATATGATGAAATCCATTAAATTTTACATGGTACAATGCAAATGTCATTAAACACAAATAAAGCATACTTATAAAGATAAATGCATATTTGTTTATATTGCATTAAAAGTTATTTTGTAACAGTAAATGCCTTCTTTACATCCTCAACTAGATTCCTTAGGCTTTTTTGAATAGCCATATAATTTTTCCCTCTCTTTTTCCCTCCTCTCCTTTATTTATATTATCTCTATTATCTCTATTCATTCATTTATTACCATATAGCCATGGTAACAATGATTTACCAAGGTCTATTTTCCTTAACATTATACTTGTTTATCATTATAAATCAACAACCATCTGTTTATTCACAATATATCTCAGGTAATTTAACTGATATTATTCCTGACTTGCCTAAGCCAAGAACATGTAAAGACAACGATCTTAAATGGAGAACATGTGATGGAAGTTGCAATAATATCGAAAATTCAAATTGGGGTGTACCATATAATGCTTTTGAACGAGGTTATTTTCAACCTTACTACAAAGATAATTATACTGGCGAACCTTGGTTAAAAATTGATACGAGAATGATTTCAAATCTTTTGTCCGATAGTGGTCAGGAACCCCTATTGTCAGGAAGTCCATTGGTTGATGACTTGCCATCAATTGCAAGAAAGTCTATATTTGAAATTGTAAGTATATATATAAACTATTTGAACAATATAATATATATATATATTTTTTTTTAAAAAAAAACAGTAATAACATATCTTCCGAATATGTTTAGTTTTTTGGTCAACTTATTAATCACGACATAGAAGATTCTCCATTGAGTACTGTCTCGTTAGGAATTTCTATTGCGAACATAACAGATGATCCCGTACTTAATTGCCATCCAAATAATCCATTTAATCCTACACAAAATCCTTGTGAGTAATCGATTGATCAAGTCTTTATATAATAAATAAACAATAACGAATTTAACAATATACCAATTTTCTCTTTACATTTCAGACATGCCAATATCCCTCTCGTTAGGTCGAATAATCAATAACACATTCGTCCCAGTAGACTCCGGTAATTCGTATCTTGACCTATCAAATATTTATGGTGCGCAAATTGATATGTCACAAGGTCTTCGTACAATGAAAGATGGAAAATTATTACTGGAAAATTATTTTGGAAATGGTGGTGCTTATAATAAAAATCTTACAAATGTAACTGCGGAACGAATGGCTCCAAGTCCCGGAAATACTAATGTTTATCCTAATCTGTCGCCGCCTTCTATCAGAGCCAACGACGCCATGGTTAGTGGTGATACTCGTTGCTCTGAAAATATCCAATTATGTATCATTACTACTCTCTGGATTCGTGAACATAATTGGTGGGCGGAAAAGGTTTTAAATGATGATCCATCTTTGAAGGATAATGATGAAGAAATTTACCAACGTGCTAGAAGAATGACAATAGCTGAATATCAACACGTTATAATTAATGAATATCTGCCCGCTGTGCTTGGGGTTAAAGTACCTCCTTACACAGGTTATGATAAAACTCTGCGCCCGGAAACATCTATTCATTTTGCTGGTGCTGCTTTTCGTTATGGTCATTCAAACGTCCGTCCTTATAACATCATCGATGGTTGTACAGAAAAGCCTATTGAACTTCATCCTGACTTTTCATTCCCCAATTCTCATCCCAATCGCTTCTTCTTTGTTGGTAAATCTGTTCCAATTCCATCTCTACCTGGAAGCAATTATACTTCACAACAATTAGACTATACCCCTCTAAGAATGTTAACTCTCGCTTCCGGTTCTCAAGGAAATGGAATGGATAACATTCTTGCTAGCATGTTGAGAGAAAATGCTGCTGAGTTTGATTTAATTATCACAACTGCATTAAGAAATATACCTGCTGCTATGGATTTGTTCGCTATAGACATTGGCAGAGGTATGAATCATATCAAAAAAATTTTTTTCATCGGACATTACCTTTAATTAATGTTACTTTTTATTTAAAAAAAAAGGTCGTTTACTTGGTCTTGCTCCTTATGATATATATCGTGAAGCGTACCATCCGAAAGGTGGCCTATACAAAAACAAAGAATGTGAAGGGAACTCCGAAGTAGATTCAATTGATTGTTTTAAACTTATAACGTCCAATATTACTATAGCAACAAATTTACAACAAATTTATAAAAAAGTTGGCCAAATTGATGGAATTGTTGGAATGTTTGCTGAAGACAAAGAAAGTTCAACAGCTCCATTACCACCAACAATTGCTGCAATAATAATGGCTGAATTTATACGTAAAAGAAGTTCTGATCGATTTTGGTATGAAGGTGAAACTTATACTGACGAGGAGAGATCAATAATAACGAACACTTCTATGAATGATATTATTATGAGAAATACAAATGTTAGAAATATACAAGCTAATCCATTTAAATCTCCTGGTACAAAAGATCCATTAGGTATGCTATTCTTGTTTGTTATGAAATAATTTAATCTTTTATCTTTTTTATCTTTTAATTACTTTTTCACTTTTATTTTAGCAACCGTGTTATGTTCAAAGTAAAATTGACCTGCATATCATAAATTGAATATAATTGAATGGATAATTGTATTTTTGTTGCCCCTTTTTGGTTTTTTTTTTAATTATAGCATTACCTAGAAAGATTATGGTCCAGACCAGCTGTCCTTATAAAATGGCGATACGTAAATAATTTTGCATTATTAGCATTTTCAATCATTTTTAATATAATTTTTCCTTTTACGTACGTACATAATGAAACTCTAAATGTCCGAAATAAAGAAAAATGTATATATTAGAAGTAATGTTTTTTAGAGTTATTAATGAATTTAACGATATCATTTATCATTGTCAAAAAAATTTCGATATTCAACATAATAAATCATTTATATCATTTAAATTTTTGCTCGTTACAATAATTTTGTAATTATGAAGAGAAAGATTGGCATTAAGTCGACCCTGTATACCGAGAGCATTTATATCTGATGATAATGTTCAAGATCATTTTTTAATTCTAAAAAGTTATACTAAATCACACACATAAAAATTAAGGTTATGTACCCTAAGGTATAGCAAATTAATAGATTCAGATTTTGGGCTAGGTTTTTGGAGTACTAAACATTTTTATTTAGTATACGTATCTGACATTAGTAATTTTTTTCTTCCACATGTCACTTCATGTGACACTTGTGTAGAGTGTCCAGAAATCTGTTTTTTTGAGTGGTAAAATCACTGCTTTTGTTTGGCTATTTCTGCATAATCTGCTTAACCAATCAAAATTAATATATTGTTTATCGTTATGTATCGGTATTTTTATTATATTGCTTGCTAAAATTGTTTTATGAAAAAGCGTAAAACTTAATTATTGCTAATTATTGCTAGTGAAATAGAAATTAAAATTAAAAAATATAGTATAAAACATTAAATATATTAATAAATCTAATATTGTTTAATTTTAAAATTTTATACTTTAAAAGTTTACAAGTTAAAATATAAAAAATTTAATCTTTCAATAGATTCTTTAGATAATGCATGTCTACGATCATTTAAAATATTCTTGTAATCACTGAAGCTTCTTTTAACATCTACGCCAGAAATAGGAAACCAAATATATGTTAATGCTACTTGTGCTAAATTAGGTAAAGGTTTTTATTTTTCTCTTCAATATTCATTTAAGTTTAATTTGTCATCTATTAATTCATTTAATTTACAATAAAGTTCCCATTCTATTATAATATTATTAGATGGATTCTTAAATTGAGGAATAGTATTATATAATGCAAGATCATGTTTATTATTAGAGTTATAAATATAAGAAAGATTAAAGCATTGAATTGATTTAAAAAGAAGATATGTTGAATGTGAATTAATATGTTTGTTAAATTTTTCTAAAGCTAAGTTAAGTGTTTCTGAAAAAATATTTTTTAAATTATTCATATCTAAATTTAAACTTTATATTTGTAAAATCATTTCATTACTAAATGATAAATTATTAGTATTATTTTGTAAAAAAAACTTGTGTTTGTGTTAAGCATATTATAATAAATAATGTTATTAGTTGTTTCTAATTTTAAAAAACTCTAAATATATTATTAACCTATATATATATAATATATATTTAAAATTAATTAATATATATATAAATAATTAATTAAATAATTAATTAATTATAAAATTAATAAACATTATTAAAATTTTTAAATTGGAATCTGATCATTTTGTTGAAATATATTAACTAATTCTTTAAGTATCTTATTATTTTTATTTAATTGATATTTATTTTTAAAGAAAAATTTAAAATATTCAATAGAGTGTGGGTCCCATAGCTTAGCGGTTAAGCTCCCATACTCTCCACAGTCAAGGTTAACGGTTCAAGTCCAGCTGGAGGCAAAATTGAAAGATTTTAGTTTCTGTAACCTAATAAGGAGCTTGTAATTGAATATGAAGTCCTGTGGTTAAGTTCAAGTGCAATACAATGATGGAAATAGGAATTCCTAGAAGGAGACCCAATTGTGGAGTGCAGGCACTATGTGTAACAAGTGGTTGTTATAGAAGGTTACAGTTATTAAAAAGATTGTGCATGTAAGTTCTTTAGGCTAGGGCAACACCAACATCCTTATACCTTCTAATATAGGCAGTACCAACATCCCTGCACCCAACTTGTAGAGTACTTGCTTTGAAGGATAATCAACAGATTGTGCAAATAAGTCTTAATTG